AAGTTTCAAGATAAAGATGCTCAGAGGCCCTGACAAAAGGACAAAAGGGACCTAGTTCTGTGTCCTTGCTCAGGGGTGGACTTGTTTTCTGTTCCGGGGACTTGGCTTTTTCTCCTGAAGAGACTGGACTTATCAGTCCCAAGGCCACTGTGTTCTCAGTGTTAATGTTCTTGAGATACTCTGTTCCCCTTTGGCAACATGATTAGCTTCGCTCTGACTTAGTCCCATTGTATGGTAGTTTCCTCTGGCTCTGTCCCATGTCTTCCCTGGGACTAGTATGTAAGATACTGTACTTCTTAAGACGTTTGCTTGGCATAAGACAGCTTGTGCAAGACTTCCTGATCCCAAACTACCTTATCTTCTCTGTTTTCCATCTTCTGATCCCCTGGTCCTCTCAGAACCCTGTCACCAAGGACACCTGTTGGTCCACGTCACTGCCCCAGCCTGTACTGCCTTGTCCTAGAAGGCTTCCCAGACAACAGGCCAGTTGCAGGCGATGCGGCTCAGGATGGAGTTCTCATCAGGTTGCCTGTCACCGCTTGCAAACCGATTTCCATCACCATTGCTTGGCTTTGAGGGTACTCTGGGAGATAACAGTGACAGGCTACTGTAGACTGACATCGCAGGATAGTGGAACACCATCCCTTTTCTAGGCAGGAGTCCTTCATTTTCTGCAGCCAGTTTCCCATGGACTCAGGGTGGGGGGGGGGGAGGGCTTTGAACCACTTCCCTCAGGCCTTTGTACTTGCCAGATAACAAACCCAGAAGTCTGATAACTGCTACAGTGAGAAAGTCTGGCAATGGCAGAAATGGGACAGGTGTCATTGTGTCCATCTTGTATGTCCTAAGAACCCAACTGAGGCCCATGAGGCAGAAGGGAACGTTCCAGGTCAGGCAGCAGATTAGAACCGCAGCATCTGGGTGGCTGATGTAAAGGACGGTGCTCTTGGCTCGGAACAAATGTATACCCAGGACTTCTGGGGAACCTTGTGAGATTGTCTCTCTCTCTCTCTCTCTCTCTCTCTCTCTCTCTCTCTCTCTGTGTGTGTGTGTGTGTGTGTGTGTGTGTGTGTGTGTGTGTGTGTGTGTAGCAGAGGACATGGTTCAGAAGCCAGCCATCTACTCTGCTCTTTTGAGACAGGGTCTGTCATTGGCTAGGAGCTCAGCAAGCAAGCTAGGCTAGCTGATCAGCAAGTCCCAGTGACCCACCTATCTCTGCCTCCCTAGTGCTGGCATTATAAGTATACATCACCATGGCCAGAGCTCAGGTTTTGGGCCTCCCAAATGTAACAAGATACAGTAGCTGGCTAGAATATCTTGCATGGAGTCTTTGATTTACTTAACTTTTTTTTCAGTATTCTAAAGCAAAGGGTATTTTGAAACCTGAGCAACTAAATTCAGTATTTGCCTGATACAAGGCATAGGTGATGCAAACATAAGTCAGTAAACTTCCATCCATTACCTTTCTATTCATTAATTCATTCACTCACTCATTCATTCATTTTTCTGGCTGGGCCTGTGCTATACAGATTACCTAAAGTCAGGGGAGCTTTGGAAATTTGGGGATAACAAGGCCCTGTCTCTAAGATGTCCCATCTGATAGGCTGTAGGGTAAGGTGGGACAAAAGTGATGCTCAAGCTAGCCAAGAATGATGACAGAATGACAGTCTGGCTTGAGGACGGTTACAAACAGTCTTGGTCATGTGTATGGCTCAGATAAGTGGCTGCAAGAGAGAGGCTTAGAGATGAGAAGAAGCTGTAGTAGACGTGGGCAATGAAAAAGACCTGTGATTAAAATGACATGACACACACACAGTACAGGAGAAGCCGCTAGCATCAGGCCAGAGAGCTTTGAACTTGTATTCAATAGGGAGTCACTGACTGTTTCAGAGTGAGACAGAAACAAGCACACCATCAGCATGAGGAGTCGTTTTCCCTGATTCGAGGGTGAGGCGCTTTCGTCTTCTCCCCTTCATCACACCAGGGTCTCACACAGTCAGGTGTCACTCTAGCAGGGTTGTTGCCATAAGTAAACCTAGACTGCCCCCAGCTTGCCTTCTTCTACTCACTCACCCACCTGTGTCTATAGTGTTGAGAGGGGCATAAGCCAGCCTGGGCCTAACTTTAGTTCTTACAGGGATGTTGAAAACCAGAATCCAACTTGTCCTGGGCTCAGCCATCCAGTCCTGGGATCTGCAGGACCTCTTGAGTTCTAAGCACTTATATGTGCTTGTGAATATAACCTGGAGGAGGGGTATTGAGCCCCAGAACTACCCCTCTCAGTAACGCCCCCTATGGGCCCCTTCCTTGTCAGTGTTCTCCTGAGGCTGACTTGGGTCCTGTTTAAAGCCGTGTTTTAGAGGCCTGAGTGGGGAACAGCCTCCTTGGTCCTGACCTTCCCACTTCCCTTGACAACACTTTCTGTTGTGAGTTGAGGGGTTACTCCAGCCTCTTCCTAGGCTTATGGCTTTACTAGGGCCATGAGCATCTCCCATAGTCCCTAATGGACTCTGACTTTTGAATGGGTGTCAGCTGGAGGGGGCTCTCCACGGTCACCATCGACCTCTCTGTCTTTGTGATATGATGCTTCTTGTATGTCACAGATGAGAGTCGGGGACCCTGGGTCCTGTTCTCCAGCAATGGAGTGAGCAAATTTTCAGAACTATCTCTAGGTGCTCTGGACACCATGAAGTCCCCCAGAGTGAGCGTGGTCTGTGGCCTCCAAATCTTCACGTCTGGAAAATCCTTTGAGTTGACCACGGAGGACCAGCCCCAATTTCCACCCAAAACAAACTGTGAAGAAAGGTTCTGCCTCTGTTTGACCTACAGAGAGAAAGGGGAGAAGTGTGGAGGGGAGTGCTGATCTAGAAATCTAGAACCTTCTGGAAGCTCAGTCAGGAAAAGCACTGATATTAGGAAGAGAAGGGCCAAGAAAATGGCCCCAGGTTCAGGTCCAGCCCCCTATTGGGATGCTGTTTTGTCTGAATAGCATGTATGTCCAAAAGAGAATGACCTGGGATGCATAAGGGGAGTTGGCCTGGGTGGGGACAAACTGAAGCTCAGTGGGGATGTGGACAGCACTGGGTGTCTGGGATGCGGGGCTCATGGAAGAGTAACAAGGATGGTGTGTGCATAGCCCCATTTTAAGGTTTCCCATGCATAGAAAGTGTGATTCTATGAGGCAGAGGCAGCTATTCTTGTCCCATCTCATAGTTGAGTGTACTGAGGTCCAGAGAAGTAAAATCAGAACCCAAAATTTGTGACACCACTATGCAATGGGAGTAAAATGAACCACCTAGCTTGTAGATGCAGTGTGAGCAACTAGTGGCAAAGCATTATGGGAGTTCTTGTCCTGGACATAACAGTAGAGAGTGATCCAGATCTAGAAAAGAATGGGGAGGAGTCTCTCTTGGCTGCCCTGTTCTCAGCTCTCATTATCCTGGAATCAGAGAGGCCATGTTGGATCTCAGCCTGGTGCTAGTCACACTAGGCCCTGTGAGCCCGCAGGGTGTGGCTTGGAGGAGGCATCTGCTGGAAACCGAAGGTGTGGGGCAAGCAGAACCAGTTCCTGCCAGCCTGCCTCATCCACAGGCAATGTTTTATTCTCCCAGATGCTAGAAGCATCCCTCCTTGGAGGATCCACTCTGCTTCTGAAATCATCCGAGCTAGATCAAAGGCAGAGGGGTATAACATATTACTTATGTGGAGAAACTAAGTCCCAAGAATGGAAGGGACTCTCTCTCTTGAAGTCCCAGACCACACCAGCAGCAGGGCTAATATATTAACAATGCTGCTCCTGGCTCCAGGTTGGGTTCCTGCAGCATGCTACGGCCACAGCTGTCTGTACTAGGAGCGTCACTAGTCAGCTATCAGGCCATAGGCAGCACGCCTCTCTCTGAGCCTTCCTTACTAGGTATCATGGTATGAATCTGAAATGTCCCCACAGGCTATGCTTTGAACACATTTTCCACCTGGAATGTCTAACAGTTGGGGCTTGTCTGTTGAAGCAGGTCTTTAGGGGTGAGCTTTTGAAGGTTGGTCCAGCCCTCGGTTCTGGCCTCGCTGTCTGCTTGCTGGTCCACCATGATATGAACAATCTCCTCCATCTCCTTCCACCCCCACCATGAACTGACATGGTTGCCAAGCCTTCCTGCCATCATGGACAGAAGCACTCTGAAGCAGCGAGCCAACCCCCCTTCCTCAAGCTGCTTCTGATAGGCATTGTCACAATGAGGCAAAGGTAATAAAAGCAGGAGGCCAGTGTCCAAGTGGCTCAGGTTGCTTCTGTTGGGAGTCGTCCTACCAAAAACATTCTCAGTTCCTCTTCTGGAAAAAACAAACAAAACAAACAAACAAACAAACAAAAACCTGAGCCCGGGCATTGGTGGCACATGCCTTTAATCCCAGCACTCGGGAGGCAGAGGCAGGCAGATCGCTGTGAGTTTGAGGCCAGCCTGGTCTACAGAGTGAGTGCCAGGATAGGCTCCAAAGCTACACAGAGAAACCCTGTCTCGAAAAAGGAAACAAACAAACAACCCAAAAAACAAACAAACAAACAAACAAAACAACCAAAAACCACTAACTACACTCAGCCAACTGACATCCCTTCTCTTACATACATGGGTAGCTATATGGGACTTGAACACCTCATACTCCATGTCTGGGACATGGAGTTTGTTATGTCCATGTCCAGGTTTGCTAACAGGGCAAGGTCTGGGAGGAAAGGCAAAGGACATGTCTGTAAGTGTCTGCTACGTGTGAGGCACCACACACACCAGGGTCTCAGAGCTATCACTGGGTTTAATCGGTGCAACCTCCCCACCCCAGAAAGGCCGTTCTCATTTTCTAGCCCATCTTGCTATACCTCTTCCTGTACCATTGACTCCTCTTTGGAGTCAGGGACCCTTCCCTGCTCTCAATCATGGATGCAGAGCTCTTCCTACCCAGCCCTCCCGAACCACCTGCTGCTGCTGGTAACAGCCCAGCTAGTCCTGGGACAGCTATGCTGTGGGGTTGAACACCTTCCCCATGAAGAAGATACTCTTGGTGCTGGTGGAATATATCACTATGAAGAATGGCCGGTTGAATATAAGGACATGTCTCTTGTGCTGGGCAGAGAAAAAGGTGACAGAGACACTAGTGGCTGCCGCAGCCTCCGTGCCAACTTCATTCACATCCAGGGTGGCCTTGTGGAAAACCTAAGAGAGAAACCACATGCTTTACAGCCTCTCCGAATTACACAGTAATGACAGATGTTGCTCCTAACCCCCTCCGTGTGTCTGTGTACTCCTGTCACCTCCTAGGAGGTCAGCAGCATTGTGGCCACATTAGGGGTAAGGATAATTAAATCAAAGATCAGGCAATATCCCAAGGCAAGGAGCAAAATGGAAATTCAGACTCCTCTCCTAGGGTGAACCCATTAATATGTCTATTGCCCATGTGCAAAGTAATGGATCTCTGGTTCTCCTATAAAAATACACTGATTCAGGCTTCAGCCTCCCCCTTTTCTGTCCCTGTAGTGCATCCTTCACTCTCCAGGCCTCTGACATACCCAAATTCCAGGCCCCTGGCCTAACCCAGAGGTGTCTGAGGGCATGGGCTGGCCATTGTCATATCATTTCCACACTGAGACTGTGTCTCGAAACTGGTGTGCTGCTGGGTGGATGCTCATACCTGTGGAAGACTGAGCATACTCAGGCTCCCAGAGACAGTATGGTAGCAGGGAGTGTCTCTACTGCCACCTCCTTCTCAGACGAAGAAGTCTCTCATAGAGACCTACAGGGTCAATGACCCTTTCTTACTTACTTTGGATAACTGCAAATTCTCTTCTTGGTTAATATTCGAGAAGTTAGCACGCTGGGTGAATAGGTCCCGGAAGCCCAGGTCAGGCAAAATTTCATCCAATGCATAGGAGTTTGCAATGGAGAATTTGGGAAACTGCAATGAGAGCTTTCTGTAAAGGTACCTGAAGGGGCAAAGTGAAGGAGGTATGTTAGATTCTCTCTCTCTCTCTCTCTCTCTCTCTCTCTCTCTCTCTCTCTGTGTGTGTGTGTGTGTGTGTGTGTGTGTGTGTTGCATGTGCACATGTGTGGCAGTCACAGGACAAACCACAGGGACAGAGTCTTTTATTGTCCTGGAACTTGCCTGGTGAGGTAGGCTGGCTTGTATGCAAACCCCTGTCCACTGGGATTACAGGCACCTGCCACCACTCCTGGCTTTTAGAAACTGAGTTCTGGGATCCAGACTCAGGATCTCTATTGTCTGAGCCAGCTCCTGAAGCAGCCGGACCTTCTTCAGAAGAAAATGACTCTACTTCAGTTTGGCTTTCAGAAGCACCCGTAAGACAGGCAACCCCTCAGCTAGGTGCCTATAGGGGTGACAGACCCCGAATGTCTACTTAGCTATCTAGAGGAGTGATTTTTTAAAAATTGAAATGTAATTACACCATTTCACCCATCCTTTTCCCTTCTCTAACTCCTCCTCTTAGTGTTTCTTGTATGTGTATGATTCAGGGCTGACCACTTGGTATTGCGTAACCAATTAAGGGGCTCCTCCTCTGGGGAAGACTGATCCTCCTCTGAGTATTCTTGAGTTGCCTATAGTTTATCTGGGGTAATTACTGCCTTTGGACACCTTAAGAGGCTGTATTGTGGAGGGATACTCTGGAATGTTACGATAAATCTTTCTGCCAAATGTCGCCGAGCCCCACCTCCATGTGTACACTTTATGCCAGCCGCCTGCCCGAGTTAGGCCCAAATAAATACATAGAAACTTGTATTAGGTACAATGCTGCTTGGCCAATGACTAGGATTCTCATCTGTTAGCTCAGTCTCAATTATCATACATCTATATATTTTATAAGACTTATCTTATTGGACGCCTTATTGGTGTCCCTCTTTGCCGGAGCTCACATCCTGCTGCTGGAGGAGGCAAACGGGAAAAAGGGCCCTTCCTGGTTCTCCTTCACTTAAATATGAGTCTCCTTGCTATGTCACTTCCTGCCTGGA